CTCTTAAACTGTACTACTATAATTCCTGTTCCGTCTCCTCCCCCCCACCATCAGCCCCCCAATTCCCCACCCTGGCTCTGGTCATTTGCAAAGTAAAAAGTAAAGTTAATTGATTGGACTGGATTGTTAACAGAATGCCAAATGTGTCACATAGAGCCCTGAAATGGAGATAGAAGAAAATAGGTAAAAAAGAAGAAAAGTCAAAAGACCAGTAATAGAAAATCGGTTCCCAATATATTATAGATCATTGCTTTTATTGTGCAGAGCAGCCTGCAGGGTAGGCAGTGAGAGAAAGTGGTTGAAATTATACACTCTGGAGCCAAGCTGCCAGGTTCAAATCATAGCTCAGCGTTCCCCAGCTGTGTGAGAGTCCGCCGGTTTCTGTACCTCTCTGTGCTTTTCCTCAGTTGCAACAGGGAGGAGCTAATAGCTGTGAGGATTGTGTCAGGATAGGCTTAACCCTTCGAGCAGCACACAGTATGTAGAAGAGCAGCACACAGCATGTAGGAAGCACGCAGTACGCATTAGCCATTTCTTCCTTTACATCCTTGCCTTTGCCAGACGTAAATATCAGGTCCAATATGGACTGCGGGAACTAACCACATAAACAGAGGGGGAGGGCCTCTTTTCCCCAGGTCCTGGGATCACATATGCATTGGAATTCTAGCTAGGAGGAGGCCTTCATGGATATCTGGGCTCCCATCCATCTGAGGGTTTCCGCCCCACACTCACACTTTTCCCTATTCCAACATGCTTTAAAAATCGGTTCCATATTTAAAGCATGTCAAGCTAGATTTTAGTTTTAGTCTCTCTTACATATGTGGAATTAGAACCTCCAGAAGCCATTATGTAAATCAATGCAAATGGCATGCAAAGAGGCAGTAGCCCCAGATTGTGGGGAGCTTGGTGAGCAGGCCAGCACAAAGGGCCTTGAATGAAAATTTGCATCTGTTAGGGGTTGAAGGCCTTGCACAGCTATTGTGACAGTGTGCCACCCTTTCTATTCAGTTGTTAACCTTTTGTGCCCGGAAGGAGAGGTAAACTCTTGTCTGATTTCCATACTGTAGGTGACAGTGGAGGTTGAAGGTGTTTGGGCAATGCAACATTGTAGCAATTTTTATGATGCAAATGGAAAGTTGCTTTGAAATAATTTCCGTGATCCAGGCTGTGTCCCCCACCAGCTGTGTATTCTTGAACTATTGACTTCACTCCTTCCATTTCGCCCGCTGTGAAATGAGGGAGTCAGATTAAGTTACCTCTAGGGCCCCTCTCATCCAGACAGCTAAATGTATTCCTCCAGGTAAAAACCCTTTGTAGCCAGGAAGGCAATGTCTATTCACTGTACCAATGGTTTACTCTAAAGCAGGAGTCCCCAACCTCCGCCCCTGGCCGTGGACCGGTACCAGTGAGTGGCCTGTTGGGAACCAGGCCGCACAGCAGACTGTGAGAAGCAGGCAAAAGAGCAAAGCTTCATCTGGATCTGCAGCCGCTCCCCAGCGCTAGCATCACCGCCTCAGCTCCATCTCAGATCATCAGGCATTGGATTCTCATAGGAGCACTGGTCCCTAGTGCCCAAAAGACTGGGCACCACTGCTCTGAAGTCTAAAGAAGAAATGGCTAAGGGGCGCTTTAACAGTCCTCCTAGAGAGAAAAATAGTTTTAGGGGAAGTAAAGGCAAAGGCATTTACTTGCACTCTCAAGTCTTGCAGCAGGAAGGGTACTGGTCATACAATCCCCACTGGGAGAATTTTAGCCCCTGGGATGCTCCTGGAGGGAGAGGCAGGGGAATTTCTTTCCTTGAGTGTTGTGAATACAGGGAAGTGTTAACCCCTCTGCCTGAGCGCTGCAGAAGTGTTGGAGGCGAGGGTGGCTCCTCTCCCTCCCCCTACCTGTCACTGCGGCCAGCTGGGTCTCTCTGAAAGCTTTGCACTGCCCTCGATGCCGCTGCCAAGAGACTGCTGTGTCCTTGGTCTCTGGCTTCCAGTTGTATCCAACACATCTGGTATTCCACCCCAGGAATGCTCTGGGCCCTTAATTTTAATTCCAGCTGTTGTGGCAGCCACCAGCTGGATGCAGGTGGAACCAGACAGCCCCTCTCTGACTCAGCCACGTAGCCCTCCTGCAGGAGCCAGGAAGTGCAGCAGAATGTGCACCCACGGAGCAGCCCTTGGCCGGTAGGGTTGGAGCTGCTGGGCATGTAAGTGCTCCTCTGCCTGGACAGTTCGAGAGGCAGTCTGCTCAGCTCCTGATCGGTTCCCAGGGAATTTGAGTCACCCATTCTGGTCAGCTTATGACTTGCCTTTGTATTGATTTTCCCTGTTTCGCTCGCTCATCTCAGACCCTAATGGCTATCGCCTCAGATCACTTCCCAAAATAAACTACGAGCACAGAGCCCCAGTCTCCACTTCTTTTCCTGGGAGCCTCTAACATGAGACACTGACGCAGGCTGCCATAACAGAGTACCACAAAGTGGAAGGCTTTAACAACAGAAATTTGCGCGCTCACAGTTTTGGAAGCTAGAAGCCCAAGGTCAAGGTGCTGACGGTACCGGCATCTGATAAGACCTCTCCCCGTGACTTGCCCGTGTCCTCTCACCGCTGTCCTCTCATGGCCTGCTTGGCCCTGGC